TTTGTACAGCCCTTTAATATGCCTGAAGAAGGCATCATCTGTGTTGTTTTAGGCCCATATTTGTGGTGTTGTTGGCATGCGCCCAAATGAACAAATCTCCACATATACAGTACAGGCTGACTTAAAATATACTATTCTAAGTTTGCTTATTGCCACCTGTAGAGACTGGAGGCTGGTCCCCACAACATACAGTTTGCTGAATTTTACACAATACTGTGTAGATAAAGTGTTGGCTTTGGTTAAGATTAGGGTAAGGGTTAGGTGTTAGGCAAGCAGATGGTTAAGATCTCCCAGAAATAATTGTAAGTTTACGTAAGGATCGGGTAAATGACAAAAACAAGGATGTGTGCGCATGGGCAGGAGTGCTTTACTGTTTGCTCTTTGTCTGCATAAGGTTAGGACTATAGAGATAGTATGTGAAAGGGCGATGCTACAAAAAGATGATGACTGTAAATTAAGTGAGAATAAAATCACATCTGAAAAAGAATAACAATGTAAGAAAGTACAATTTGCATTTCTGCTCCTGAATTCAGTTGGTGATTAGAGAAAATGTTGCTTGATTACATTAGTCTCCACTCGACAATAGCCTAGAGATGAGATGACTCATTCATCAGTTTCATCACTTTACTGACAATTTTGTGTTTATTTATCAATATTAAAAATATTATCTTGTTCCTTGTGTGTGCTCTATAATCATTTTTTTAAATTAGTTTTGTGTACTGTGTGTGTTTAGTTCTTAGTTTTCCTTTACATTATATCATTTCAATCAAGATAGCTGAAACAGTTCCATAAGTCCGACATTCTTTTTCTTATGTAATGTAATGTTTGTTCCAGTTCATTTCAGGGCGCAAATTGATGTAGGAAGCCACTTTGAATTAATATTTGTTAGCTGATGATCCATGAAGTGTTAACTAATCAGCTCATCTTATTAGTGAACAGCAAGACGTCATTGCATATCCAGCAGTATGAAGAGTGAAGACTGATTACATGTTGTATACTCTATAGATAGGTGCCTCATTTTTAGCTTGTTAATATTGTTCATATTATTATAGAAACTACCAAATGTGTTGGTAGCCTATAACTTACTTGCACAAGATCTCAGAGGAAACTGGATTTGATTATGGTGCAAACATGATAAAATGATGTTTGTGAAAACTTAGCATTGTATATTTTACAATTACTATAGTGAGGGTAAAAGCATTGGGTACTGGATGCATACATTAATTCAGGACACTCTACACAGATAATTGTGAATGTGCTTGGATAGGATGCGATGCTCAGTATAATTATAAACAATAATTACAGCAATGTAGTTTAATGTGCACAGAAACTTATGTAATTTAAGAGTAAGTAGATTTCTTTGACTTGATACAATCAACATAAGTAGCATTATGAGATTCAAAGAGGATGCCTAAGTTAAAATACAATCTATGACCTGAATCTTTTTATATTGAGATTTCACAATTGTTTTATAATTTATGTTTTTAATTTATTTTTACAATGTAGTTAATAATGTGTAATGCAATACTAAACATTATATTTATTTGATTTAGTTAGCAACTTAATTTGCAGAATATTAACAGAGCTAAGGTTCTAAGAATATTTATATATATATTTTTTTTATCTTTTATTGCAGTTTGCAGGACCTTCTTTATATCATATTTTATAAGGTTGAATAATTGTCTTTGTAGGGGCATGTGACTTGTTAATAGGTTATTGTCCTCGCTAATTTTCTTTGTTTTCAATCATGAACATCAGTCAGAGCATGCAGAAACATAGGAAATGGACATGTTTGGTGGGTCTGAGTCTGTACTTTAAATTATTACACTGGGCCTAGTGCTTAAAGCAAAAGCTGAACAATATGGGCTGCAAGCTAATTTTGCTTCCGATGAACAGTTTGATGAGAATTTTGATAGCTCACATCTGTTAACAATATATGAAGCTACTGTTAGCAGTCAGAAAGATTGCACAAGGAAACAGCTGACCTGGCTCTGTAAAATGGCAAATCATCACTATTACACTTTAGTTTTTGTATGAATTAATCAAATGAGATACAACATATTATTTTGTAAGCTAAGTGGCAGATAAAGCAAGGAAATTGTTATCTTAACTTAGTGTAAAAACTGGGAGGGTGGTGGTTCAGCCAGGCTCTGCCCAACATATTGTCTGCTTTGTTGTTTTTTTTGTTTGTTTTGCAACTGAACAGAACTCTTTCACGATGTCCTCAGAATGGTGAACCAGTGTTCAGGATACAGGAAACACATCAGCTATGATTACTGTTCTAATGTTAACAAACTGTCATTTCATATAAGGGCTATGTGGCAAATTACCTACAAGAACAACATATCTAGTCACCCTGTTGCTCTTCTTGCCCAGTGACCTCCACTGGTGCCCACTGACCTCCACTTAATTCATGATAATAAGGAAAAGTGGGAGATTACAGAGGGCAGAGAGATTAGTGTGGGAGGATGACAAGGGTGGGGATGAGTGTGATCATTCCCTGGAACCGGTCAATTATCAGTGCCCTCCATTTGTTGCTACTCATGCTCTCCAGCAAAGTCACATCAGATTTCATAAACAAAGATGTTTATTAGTTCAGTGTCAAGTGTGTATTGTGTTTTCACATCAGTCTGTCTTACAGATTTTATTCCATTTGTATAGTGATAAAATAAAAATACTGTATGCCAGTTAATAAAGGCGGTGAATCAAGATGACAATTTATTTATCCTTATACACCATCTACATTACTGTAGTAAATATTTCTAGCATCAATTTCTCCTCTTCATTTCTAATCCTGCCGGTCCCACATCTTCTCTTCAAAGGATTGATCTAAACTCCCCTTTTGCAACTATAAAGCCAGTTACAGGCAGAGTAAACCCACCTTCCTTTGTAATAGCATTCAGTGTGGGTTCTGCTGAAGAAATGAGGACAGTGGCTGTTTTTTATTATGTCGTCTTATTTATTGTAACAAATTAAAATGATTTATAGCATTTCTATGCCTTCACACACAGTTTCACATAAAGACCAACACATTACCACAGTTTTATCAGAAAAGGTAATTCAGTAATGGTCCATAATGATTCTCTCCAATAATGAATTGGATTTGAAATTACGTAAACATATAAAAGCATGAAAAACTGAACAAAAGTTGGAAAAGTAGGCCCATTTCATATAATTATACTACTTCTGTTTCCTGCTTTAAAATAAATGTTTAGCCCCACTGATGTACAGTAATTGTAATCCCCAGGTTTGGTCATGTTAAAATTATTGTGGCTGTCTACAGTAAATAACTTAGGTATGTCACATTGGTAACTCCATCAATGCAATAACTACATCATTCTGTAGGCCTCTTATGCTTAAAAATGATATAATTCAGTAATGAGCCCTAAATGGCATGATGTCTCAAAAATATTACATTGCATTACAGCTTACCTCTGATCATGAAGATTCAAGATTTTTATTTGCCATAAACACACAGTCTAGGCATATAGGAATTCTTGTGCAGAGCTCTCCTGGAGTCAAGTAAAGAGTTTAAAGCCAAAATAACGAACAGCCGATCTAAATATAAGATCACCCAAGAATGCAAAATACAAAAATACAAAATAGTTGATAAAATTGTGGATGCAGGAATAAGATAGCAGGTAAAATGATGAGTTTCAGATATTGCATATGGTATTGCACATAGTGTAATTGTATATGGTATTCTACTTAGTAGGGTAATGAGGGGGTATTAAACAGATTTTTCAGATTTTGTATTCGTCTTCACATCTTCAGTCTTACTGCGGCAGGGGAAAAGCTGTTGTAAAGTCTAGTTCTGTGTCTGATGATACTGTCTGCTCTGCTGTGCCTGAGGTTGTGGGCGCAGTTTTTGTGTCTGAGCAGAGAGTGAGCTGGGTGGAGTGGGTCTCTGATTATGTTCTCTGTTCTTTTACGACAGTGCTGTGTGTACAGTGTGTCCATAGCAGGCAGTTCAGTCCTAATGCTGGGCTTCCTTCACTGTGGCTGTCAGCCCTCTCCACCTCAGTCCCTTTGATGGTCAGAGGCAGCAGAGGGGAGGGGTTCTTCCTGAAGTGTGAAATAACATTTTCCATTATACAAGGGGAGGACTATTACACAGAAGCCATTTTCTGAATACTACATTAAAAAAATAAAAAACTAATAATAAAAAAATAAATCAGGACTCATTCGAGTCTTTAATATAGCCTAAACAAGAAGCATAGTGCTTACTAAGACCGAAACTGTAGACCACATCACTTCAGTTTTCAGATCTTTAAATTGGCTACATCATTGAATATTTTAGGGCCAAAACATCATTGTGACCTGCTGCTATATGCTGTGAACTGCCCAGAAGTCTCAGGTTGTTTGGTGAACATCCTTCTATTGTACACAGGGCCAAAACAAATCATGGAGAAACAAACTGCAGTTTTTATGCACCACATATCAAAACATCAGAAAACCTGATGTTGACTCCAACTCTGATTTTTTTGGTATCAAAAATCAAAAATATTCAGTTTGTTATTGCCTTTTATTAAGCTTAATTTGGGACTACTTGTACCTTTTCCTGTAATATTCATGTTACTTTATTTTGAGTCTTTATTTTATGCTTTATGTAAACCACTTGGGACTGTTGTTGAAAGGTGCTATGCAAATGGCCTTCAGATAAAAACAAGTTAACATTTCAAATCCAAAAATCTGGTTTTGACCGGTCTGCATGTCACAATTTCCCTTCCAACTTTCACAGGAATAATAAAAGAAGTTTTTACAATGTACTCTTCGATGAAGGAAGGAAAAATAAATTAATAACCTAGTCATAATAAATAACACTGCGTGTACGTACATTTTCTCGTGGTTACCAGTTGGAGTTCATACATTACTCACCTCCGTTCAAAATTTATATCACTTCGTCTGTCCAGGAAACACTTAGTCCATCCAAACTGTTGATCAATACCTTTTTACGCGCGCTGAGCTTCTCATGACGCAGTCAAGTGTCAGCGCGTGAGGAGGGTGTGTGTGACACGAGCCTTCTTATTTATCTGGTGTGAGACACAAGCTGTCAGAAGAGCATTAAGTCCAGCAGACAGAATCAAAAAAAAAAGAAAGAAAGAAGGAGATGAGGACTTTCCAGAGCCAAAGTCAGCCTGCGCAGCGCGGAGCCTCCAGCAGCCGGCACAGCCTCAGCAGCAGCGCCATGATTCCAGTCAGCACGGCCAGCGTCACCTTCGCAGCCCTACTCATCCTCACCATCCCAGTCTGCAGAAGTAAGTTAGACGAACTATCTTACTTTAGTATATTTTTTTTTCTTCAGCATTTGAAAGTCTCCTAACAGTGTTTGATCTCGTTACATCACAGGGACAGAGAAAATGCGTTTAAGATTGATTTGCTCATGTCACTTACTGGACACATCCATTCTGAGGTTGAAAGGCCAAAAGGGGTTTTTGCAACGTCTTCCTTGCCAATCTCTGACAACAATGATAAAGCTGTGTTTACCAGGAATCATGATGAAGTGTATAATGATGTACAGTTAAACCAATTCAGTAAAAATTCAGTAATTCAGAAAATTCAGTATTTAATGTAATAGCTAATTAATTTTACATATGAATTTTTATAATAATTTTTCATGTTAAATACTGAATTTTCATGTGGCTTAACTGTACATCACTATACAACTGCATCATGATTTGTGTTACAGTAAACTGATTTGGCAAGGATTTGCAGAATTTGCAGAACCTCCATTCTGACCTTGCAACCTCTGACTGGATGTGTCCAATAAATGGCATAAAGTCACTTATGATTGAGATTTGCAAAACTGTAGACTAACAGCTGTTTCTTCCAGTGAAATCAAAATAACCTGTGCAGCAGCTCAACAGTATCAATTCAGTGACACTGCTGATTTGAAGAAACATGATTACGCAGAGCTGATGAAATCTATTTTTATTAAACAATGAATATTTTCAAGACCACACAGCCACCCGGCAATAATCTTTTACCAACATATTGGACAATAACTCCCTCCGTGTTCTGTATTAAAGCTTTTACCCCTGCTAATGGACTTTCACTGCAATAATGTCAAGGCACAGAGTCAACCAAACAGCTGTGCAGGAGATGCTGTTCGTCATCACCACAAAGCAAAGGTCCTACTGACCTGTAGCAACATCAGCACCATCATGTATTATTACTGCTTTTTCAACTGTTATTGGTTTCAGCGCTAAGTGCGGTAGATTAACAGTGCATGTTTGTGTTGTATGAAAAAAAAGGTGCTCCAGTAGAACTTCAGCAAGCCGCAACAGCTCAGAGGCAGCTACTCAGCCAGGTATGCTGCGTCGTTTTATTCTCTCTTCTTTCCCTTCTCAATCATGTTCGCGTACGCATCCATCATTTTCTGTGATTCTCCACAGATAGAAGCTGTGTGCTCATGCTACCTATCTACAGACCTCAAGGTTTGGATGAGTGAGGCGTAATCCTGTCTGGCTTCTTCTGTATTTCTCCAAACACATATTATAAGTTTATGGCACAATTTGTATTACTTTAACTAACTTTTTTTTAACTCTCTGGTATTTTTTCTAGGCATCTGATATCTTAGGGGAGCTTTGTGTCTTGATGCTGGTTCAGAAGTCAAAGGTACCTCATGCTTTTACACTCTTTTTGTGAAAATCACAGAATCTAATCTTGTCACACAATGTATGTGCAGAGTTTGCCTCTCACAAGTAAGAAACCTGAGTATATGTTAAATGACACTGTGAAACACAGAAGAGTAACATTTTATCTTCTTTTCAGGAGCTGAAAGTACAAAAAAACAGTAAAAGGGTGAGTACAACATCTTTCTTTGTGAGCTACTTTCCCTGAAATGGTTAAACCCAGAGTAACATATCAGCATATTAAACCCAATGATAAACTTGTTTTGGTTTGTTTATGTGTGTGTGTGAATGGCTTTTTAATGACACAATGTGTTTAGACCACAAAGTTTTGCCTTCGTCACATGATAGTAAATAACAGAGATAGACCTACTATTACAGTATGCTGCTTGACCTAAGGAAGCACCTTGGACTGTTTTGCGAATGTGTGCCACAACAGATGAACAAATCTAACTGAGCTAATATCTGGCAGACATACAAGTACCCACCTTTAATTCCCCAAACCAATATGCATGCAGGTACACATTTACTATACAGATGAATGTAAGAATGACTATAGATATATGGGCACACATGATACCTCTTTTTCCTTACATACACAATACAAGAAGGCAGCACAGCGGCCGATCCGGTGCCTTTCTGTGTGAGTTTGTATGTTCTCCCTGTGCCTGCACGGGTTCTCTCCAGGTACTCCAGCTTCCCCTCACAGTCCAAAGTCATGCAGCTTAGGTTGATTGATGACTCTAAATTGCCCTTAGGGGTGAGAGTGAGTGTGTGTGGTTGTTCGTCTACATGTCTTTCCTGTGATAGACTGGCAACCTGTCCAGGGTGGACCCTGCTTCTCGCCCAGTGTCAGCTGGGATTGGCTCCAGCCCCACTGCAGTCCTATTCAGGAATAAGCATAGATAATGGATGGATATAAGATGAAATCTTGTCCTAGTGCTCCCTTAACTGCTTCTGTGCCTTACTTGTCATATGCTTATTATAACAACATTTTGAGAGAACTTATGTTTACACAGTCTGTTTGTCCTTCACACTGGACAACAAATTTCAGCCAAGAAGCAAGAGAAAAGTTTCAGAAACATAATACAACAAACTACTTTACATTGAGAGAATTTAAATATGAATGTACATTTCAATAATAGGACCCTCCTGGATAAAAGGATTTCTGGTCATGTGGTGGATAAAACCAACAAAGATGATGCAGAGAGCTGTCATAAAAGTACAGGGAAATGTTTACAATCTCTACAGCATCAGACTTAAGCTAAAATAAGTTATAATTATTGATATGAATTATAGGTATTTTCTTAAATTTTCATTTATGCCCCCTGAAATACAAAACATCCCAAGACGCACATTGACCTACCATAACAAACCATTTTTTTTCAATGAAACATGAAGCTATTTAGTTTTGTGTTGCTCTATCACTCCTCTGTTTAATAATGCAGGATGTTATGTGGTTATCTAAACACCTAGGGGCAATGATGAAATTGCTGCACTGAGGAAGCATGTGTGTTATGCCTGAGTTTCTGTGTTGCATGTTTGTGTGTTGCCTGCGTACTCTCAATATTTTGTACTTTATCGCTTACTGGAGCTAGTATTCATGTTTGTGTCTTTGCTCTACCTGTGCATGTTTTTGTGTTTGTCAGACTCCTCTTTCGCACCATCTGCTGCATTTAGTTTCTTATCTCCATAACAGAGGAAAGGGAGGACTCTCAGTAAATGTACCATAGATGTCAGTTCTCCTTTCACTCTCCATTTGTTGTTTTTTGCTTTACTAAAGAATACCACAGTCACTGACTGGTGAAAACAAAGATATTGGAAAATAAGATGCTTTGTTTTCAGCATACTAAAAGCTGTATGCAGTCATTTGTGCAAACTGACTGTGTAGTGTGATATTATTTTTTACAATTTCTGACTAAAATATATTTAGATCTTTCAACTGCAATAGGATCCATAGTTGAGAATATAACAAGAACTAATAAACAGACAACCACACAGCATGCAAAATGCATTTGTGTTTTTGCAGCAAATGATATTAAAATGCATTTTAATGTATGTTTTTTCCATTTCTGAGCTTACATGTCAATAATGTTGTTTCATATCGTGCATCTCTCTTCACTCTGTGCAAGCTCAGTATACATTAGTTGTTCTTTCCCAGGATGAGAGTAATTATGGTCTAAAACTAGTGCAGCTGATAGGTGAGCTTACCCCTTATTGCTATGAAGTGGACACAGGAACTGTGAGCATGAAAAGTGGAGAGTGTTTGTTTTGGAAAATCCAGGCATGAATAACACTTGCGTGCGAGTGCTATTGGCTTTTGCTGGTGGAGGAGAGTTTTTCTTTTTTTAACCTTTATTTATACAGGGTAGATCCACTGAGAGGCTGCCTCTCTTTCTCTGAGCTGCTTTGTTCACATTCACACAGTTACACATTCACACCTGTGGCTAGCAAGCAACAGAACAGCTGGGGTTAAGGGCCTTGTTCAAGGGCACCACAGTGGTGAAGGTGAGGCAAGCACCCTGCCATTGTAGCAACACGTAAAAATGTCAAATAAGAACAGGGGCATTCTTCTAGGCAAGATAAAGCTGCATTAACTAAGCACTCCATCTAATTTTTGATCACTAAGGGCAAAGTGAGAGTCCAAACAAACTCAAGCAGTATCCCCTGCTCTTCTCCCTCCGCTCCTCTTTGCCTTCAGATCAGCAGAGGCACAGAAGGAGTGTGGTGCGGTTTTAACAGCACTGCTCAGAGAGGGGTAGAAATAAACACAGGACCTGAAGATAGCAGAGTGGGGCGTTTAGTACAGCAGGGAGACAACAGTTCTAGACAATTTTTTAATTGATTTATCCAAATCTGTGCTAAATCTTAGTTAACCCAGCTTTAAATTCTGTGGTTTTTGTTTTGATACAGGCTGTACTCCAGGGACCTGGGGGAATCCAGAGTAGAGGTTACTTTCTCTATCGGGTATGAACATGATTTATTTTATTTTAAAAATCCCCTACATAATATGAACAAACAATTACATTTTGTTTGCATTTGCAGCCCCGAAATGGAAGAAGATCCTTAGAATATGAATAAATTAAAGGTACTGCTCTAAAGATATTTTTCTTTGTTGCTTTTTCTCTCTCTATGGATTTAGCCTCAAAAGACATGTTAACAATGACATTTGAAAGAAGGGACCGTATACAAATTAAATTTTTAGGAGAGGAGATGACATTGGAAAAGTGTTAAAGTGTTCTCTTGTGACCAAGAAAGAACAGTCTGACTCATTTAGCAGAGCACAATTGATTACCCCAGATACATTTTATTTCAACCTTTCTTTGCAGTTACACAAATATTTACTACTAATTAGTATCAAAAAGATAACTTTCATAATAATCAGGGTTTTATTTTCCTATCACAACTAACCAGGAACTGAAATAAAGTAGCAATGTCTCTGGCACATTATTAAAGTTTTCAGGAAACACAGAATATACTTCTTAGATAGTTAATTATTAGTGATTGAATGGATCCTTCCAAAAAGCATGCCATTAAAATTATTTAAATTTATAATATTCATATTTGTGACTACTGTGAAAAAGATTTTTCATTAACATATTAATGTTTAAAATACTTATATTGTTTAATGATTGGGTGAGTCATACCACTTTAACACATACAATTATACAACATACATTTATATTATTCTGAGACAATGAGGTGGAGGGTGCTTGCATTTTTTTTGTCCCACAGAATACCAAAAGAAAATATTGTTAATGATGGAGAGTGTTTTTTTTTTAACTAAAACATAAGGTTTAGCTGCCCATCCCACCCCAGTCATTTTCACACAGTCTTTATTACTGTTGAAATCCTATCATCTCTGTGGTAGTAGTGACTAGGACTACCTGCTAACACCATGCATATATAGGCTTAGAATGTCACAGATGTGTGAGTATTCTTGTATTTATCTAATTGTGTATGTCAAGATATCAATGTGTGCTCAGTCTCCACTTCTGAACCTTAGTGACCAGAGAACATAAACACCTAGACCTGAGCTGCTGCACCATGATGGAGTGATCCAGTCTTCAGCCACACCACAGTCCTCTGCCACTGCTGAACAGTGATTCTGAATGTATAAAGAACATAATTAAAACATACTCATCAATTGTCCAGATTTTATTTTGTGTTAAATGTTTGTCATTTGCATTAAAAATACCATAATACGGCCAGGTGTAAAGTTTGATTTGTTATACAATATGTCATGTAAATAGGATAAAAAAAAACATAAATAAATGACTATGCATGAACAAATGCAGATACAATGCAAATGTGCATGGAATTGAATAGTAAACATCACATCCGGTACATTTAAAACATACTATAAGTATTTATTTGACACACATACTCTATTCTTTGTTGTAGAACAAAATGTGAAAATGCATTATCCTTGTGTTAACCACTGACTTTATTTCAGGCATCTAACCAAAAACCCATGGGCTTCAGGGTGAGGGAACCAGAAGTACAAAAATGCTCAGGTTCAGATTTTAGGATTCACTACTAGACCACAGACAGTTTACAGTAAAACAAATCCTCTGTCCAGTTATGTGAACAGTTTATGACAGTGAAAAATACACCCATGCCAGAAGAGCTTTATAATCATTCTTTCCAATGAAAAACAGCATGCACACACAAATATAGTTCTGTAGTTTAAATTGAAATAAACTGAGATGTAGGTTTAACATAGATTTTGCTTAGATTTCCTAGCAACAAATCATTAATTATGAAAAAGTAAAACAAATAAAAAAATAAGTAAAATAAAACAAACAAAAAATGACTTTTCACTTAAAGATTTGGATAGTGGCACCCTCCTGGCCTATAATCATTCAACACAATAACTGGACTACACAGCCACTGGATGTGCTGATTTAGCATATGCAATATTTCCTATAAAACAAGAGCCTTTTACAGCTTTATTATTGCTTATACCTCTTTACCACTGTGTTACATCACCTTTCCCTTTAATTACACTTCTTATTGGTTTGGGAACTGAGGATATTAGTTGCTGCAGGTTTGTAAGTGAAATATTGGCCCATTCTGGCTGGATACAAAACTTCAGCTGCTGAGCAGTCCATGGTCACTGTTGTCTGAGTCTCCTCTTCATGATGCACCATACATTTTCAATAGGGGACAGGTGGACTGCAGGCACTTTGCTTATTCAGGTCTAGACCAGCAGTTTTCAAAGTGTGAGGCTCACCTCCCCTGGGGGGCGCCAGAGAACTTCAGGGGAGGTGCAGCGTGAGAAACTAGAACCAGAAACTAAAATTACTGCTTTGTGGTGGTATATCTCAGCCAACCAGTCAAATTCAAGGGAATGGACAGATGTGAGGTCATTGACTTTGACTTTTGACCACCAAGTCTAATCAGTTCATCCTCAAGTCTAAGCAGACAATTTGAAGAAATTTGAAGAAATTCCCTCAAGGCCTTCCTGAGATATTGCATTCACAAGAATGGCCAGTATGGACAAACCCAAAAACATAAGTGTCTGGCTGCAGCTATCGCTGACATGGAGGCATAAAAAGAACTGTAAACATGAAACTTTAAGCTTGGCTCTGTGTGTGTGAAAGATGGATCGATTTGTAGAACCTAGTGTGACAGAGGAGATAGTCTATCACACAGCAGCTGCTTGCAGCACATATTGTTAATCCACATTATGATTTCATTTATTTAATTCTCTTTTTAAAAGTGGATTTTCAAATTAATTTTGAAATTCCATTATTTAATGGGGAATTGAATACTTTTTATTTACTGGGGATTACTACACTATATTTGTAAATTTGTTTTATTGTCCAAGAAAATATCAGTTAAAATCTCCTAATATTATTTCTGTGAAAGTTGTGATCGTCCATAGATAAACATGTAGATCTGTTCAATTCCTGTTAAGGTAGTGAGATTCCTGCACTAATTCTGAATTTAGCCCAACAACCTCATCCAACTCTGACATATGCATTTGCTTGCAGAGAGGACATATTTAAAAAGTGCAAAATAGACAGAATGATTGAAAACAGCTAAAGTGTTGCTTTATTCTGTGGTACTCTCAGTATCAATGCAGCATGTAAGGAGTAAACAACACAATCTTAGAACCAGAACATTTTTGACTGCCTTTGAATATTGTCATTAAGATGGAGGAGTGCTTGAATTTGCAGCCACAGACAGTGATTACCCCACAAACAAAAATCAGTGTTTTCACAGAAGGTCAAGGTCAAAGTGTTTATTTGTCACATGCATGGTTAGGAAACGTGTCTCTCTGTACAATGAAATTCTTACTTTGCCATCCACACGAATGCCACAAAATACAAATGAAATATAAAGTAGATAAATAAGTACCACAAAATCTAGGGTATTTTAAGCAGCAAATGCAGCAGTATAATAAAAATATATAAGAATATAATAAGAGAATGTATGCTGCACGGGAGCAGCATGTGCAGCAGTCAACAGTCAATGTGCAATTATGTATGTGCAAACAGAATGTAAACAGTACAGGTCGTCAGTACATGACGTATTTCCTGGTAATAAACTCCTCAGCTGTTTAGGAGTTTGATGGCAGAGGGAAAGAAAGAGTTTTTCAGTCTGGAGGTCCTGCACTTCACACTTCTGAACCTCCGGCCAGAGGGTA